TGCCATCCTGTTGCCTTGGTGTCACACAGCGTTAACCATTTGTGGCAGAAGAATCCACGTGAGTCTCCGCGAGTCTTGAAGAATCCACGTGAGTCTCCGCGAGTCTTGATGCTCGTTCAGAAAATGAGATCCGCTTTAGCCACCGCGATTTAATACTAACCGTCTGTCCACTCGGTTTTCCCTATGCCACGCGTCAGGAGCACCTTCGTTGTTGTGGTCTCCACTGGGGAAGCTACAGGGGAGTACAACGCAGGTAGGGTGGCTAGCACCGTCCGTCCTGTTTCCCATAGGCTGGACAGGAGCCTCTCGGTGCTCTTCCCATCCGTTGGATTGATGTACTTCGAAGCCGATTTCCTGTTCGTCGAGAAGAGGTCGCCAAGAAGGCGCTCGGCACGATAGGCATTCGTTGCTTAAACCACTACTGTTGCTGCACTGGATGTGAGAAGTTCCGTTGTCAAGTTTGGATAGCCGAATCCTCCTTGAGAGACTCAAAATTCTGCTTGATGCTCACTTACACACGGTTTCTTCTTCTCTTTGTCTGTGCCGCCCCATACAAATCTCTTGGTTAGCTGCTGGACCGGGTCGAGTTGCTCCTTTGTCGGCCATGCGTATCGAGCGCAGAACAAGACCTTCGGTGCGACTATAGCTCGCGCGATCTCAGCTCGCTGAATAACCGTGTGAGTTTTGTTTCGCGCCAGCACGAGTTTTGTCGTTAGAGCGTTTCTGCATAAGTTCCAGTTTGCTTGGGTGTGATCATCCATGCCCATCTGTACGCCGAGATACCTGCAATGGTCTCCCTTGGGGCTCTTGTTCCCACCGTTCCAAAGGGATGGCTATTGACTTCGTGAGATTCACTCGTAGACCCGAAACCATGGTAAATCGCTCCAAAATCTTCAAAACTGCCGGTGTGTTCTGGTTGTCGTCGAGGTACAATGCTGTATCATCGGCGAAACCACAAATGCGAACCTCAGTTCCTTCGTTGTGTGTTTGAAGTGCGATACCTCGTAGGTCCGGCACTTCATCGATGACTCTGTACAATACGTCCAGTGCTACCATGAATAGCAACGGTGCCAATGGATAGCCTTGTCGTATCCCGCTGCTTACCGTTAGCTTGAAGGAGCTGTATCCGTTGATCAAGAAGAAGCCCGTGGTTCCGTGGTGAACGCTTTCTATCATCACGCAGAAGCGCTGAGAGAACCCGTACCGACGAAGAGTGGCGATGATGTAATCTCTGTCCAGGGAGTCGTAGGCTTTGGCGAAGTCGAGTAGAAGGGCGATTGGTCCGCTGGACATCTCCGTGCAGGTTCCATGTTCCCGTAGCGCCGTGAGCATGCCCACTGCAGTGCTGAGCTGGCGTCCCGGTACAAAGCCGAATCGCCTCTTGTGAATGAGTTTCGACAGAAAGCGCTGAAGTCTCGTTGCGAAAATCCTTGTGTAGATCTTGTAATCTGAGTTCAGCAAGGCAATTGGCCGAT